CTTTTAAGTTATGTTAAACTTTATTATTATTATTATTACACTCGTACGCGCTGAACGCGCACTTGGGCGCACTTGAAAACTTGAAAATTTTAAAAAGACGAAAACAAATTTTTTGGAAATAAATTTTGAGAAGAAAAAATATTAAAAAATGTTTAGAATTTTATTGAATTTTAATTTTGTTAAATTATTTTGAAATGATTAAAAAAATAAATTTAATGGAAATTAAAATAAATTCAATACAAAATTGGAAGAATAAGCTTAAATTTGAATAACAGTTCTGAAGAATTATTCAATAATCTGTCTCTAATAGGAAGCAGAGTAATGATAGTGTTATTAGTTAGGTCAAACTTATACATCAATAGAGGTGTCTCAATGTTTTTTCGCGTCTTAAAATGAGTTCACCTTTCCAGATCTCGGTTTTCGCTTTTTAAAATATGCTTCGGTACATCGTCGTTCGGTACGCCAAAACGCCAAATCGGTACGCCATACGCTATCGCCATAATGTGACTTCTATTTCAGACTTGCTAACACAAGTCTGAAGTCCAAATTTATTAAATACTCGAAATTACATCACGAAATTGATTTTTAATATCATTCGTTTTCAAATAGCTTTAATTTTCAATTAATTTAACTCAATTTAACTTAATACGCATTTAAAATCAACGTGGAAAATTAATTAAGGTATATTTCTAAAGCTTTTCCAATTAATTTTTCTGTTTCGCTTACGTGTTTGCCTTAGCTTTTAAATTTTTTTTTAATTTTTATTTAATTTTTTATTTAAAAATGCATATGATACAAACTATATAGTTTAATTTCGTACACTTTTCTGCCAATTTTACTAAATTCTACCTTGATTTTAAGCTAAATGCTTTACTAGCTTTACCAATTTTTCTATAACTCAAGCGTTTCTAAAAATTAAAATAGCTTTTTACCTCTACAATTTAATATAATAAAAGCTAAAATTCATCCAACTAGGTGGTTATTTGGGCGTCGGAGTTAAGCACGACGTCAATTAGCTATGCCATTAAACCTTGAGGTTACTCAGACGCGGGCTGTAAATTAATCTAAAAATATCTTTGAGTTTTTTAAGCAGAATATGGATCTATTCAGCTACTCGTTATGCATCGAACTACATATGCTAGAGCGGACTAATTACTCTAATTAGAGAGGCCATTGCGACCGTGAGTCTTCTCCGTCTCATTAGTAACCGGTAGGGTTGTCGGTTTTCGACCGGACCGAATCAAACCAAGAACCGAGGATTTTTCTGTTAGATTCTTCGGTTCGGTTTCGGATATCCGAAGAATTTCCAGGAAAAGATAGCCCTAGTAACCTGGTTAAAAATACTTTCGAATCACTAAAATAGACTACCGTATTTCTTCAAATAGAGCCCCACCCTCAATTAAAGCTCCACCCTCTATTACAGCCTACCTTGGAGAATAGTTGCAAAATAGAGCCCCATGGGGCTGTATTCGAGATTAATTGAAATATACTAGAGATACCGATATCCTAAATTTTTTAAATGAGACATCCCTTCGACATTAATAGTTTGGCTCATGATAATGTGTGGCGCCCTTTCGGCGAGCTATTAAATTAATCCACAAATTTTAAATTGCTTTAGTTTGACTGCGAAAATTAAGTTTCGTGGATTTTTTATTTGCACAGTAGATATTTTGTGGGTAGTTTGATAGAGGATAGATTAATTTTAAATATGGGATGTTTCATCTTTTCGTACGCAGACGTTCCTTCGGGATCAATTTATATACCAGTCGATTTTTATTTATTTAAATATTCGTCTTCATTTTATTTAATTTATTTTTTAAAGTTTCATTTTAAATATATAATATATCATTTACTTAATATATAATATCTGAAATGTGTGTCTTATAGAATTACCTATTTCTCTCTCATTACCGTACCCTTCTTGAATAATAACCCTACTTAGCATGAGGCTACTTGTGTTTTTCAGGTTTAATGTCCTTTATTCCTTTATATTCATTCCTTTATTCTTTATTATCATGAACATCTTATTACCGATAAAATCGAAAAGTATACCCGGGATTTCAGATTTTGAGAAATTCAAATCTTGACAATTTTTGAATTATAATAATACTCAAACGTTATATGGAACTCAAACGTTTTTCTCTTTCAGCCCTGTATAATATGATGGGTTTTCATCGGATGCTAATCTTTATCTCGTAAAAATTGGGATATATGATTTTATCTCATAATTATGGTTGCCGGCCTAGTCCGGTCAGAAAGATCGAGTCTTCATCTAATTTTAGCCCGAGAAAGACTCGGTCGGGTCGTCCAGATAAAAATGAGGCACTTTGACAATCTAGAAATCGTCAACCCTACTCCTAATACTAAATATGAGGCAAACTCATCTAGACTAAGGCGCTGCGCCAAAAAGACCTGCTACTTATAAGCTAATTAATTTTGTTAAAACTAACGAGAAATTTATTTTTTTGTGCTTATTTGAGAAGTTTTACCTTTTTTATGCTTTTAATAAAATTATAGTAGAAAATTCTATAGAAAAAAGTTACAGACTACAAACATCAGCTTTAGATATTGCTCATAATTTCTAAGAATCTCTCAAACTTTGTAACAATTTAGTTCATTTTCTTTACATATTTACTACAAATTTAATTTGAAAAAAAGGTGCGCGTAATAAAAGGCAGCTATTAAATTGTGGCATTTCCTTTGGTATTTTCATTATTAGTAGTTTACTATGTTAGCTTGGGAGGGTAGTAAATTCGAGCCAAAATTGAAAAAGCTAATTCATTATTTTCACATTTTTTTGTTGTTAGGTAACCAAAAAAACAATTTTTTCAAAGTTTCCATTTTGTGACAAATTATAATATAATTGCGATGGATATAAAGCAGACCTAGTCACGGATACTGATTTTGGTATCCGTATTTGGATATTTACGGCGGATACAGGCTGATATCCGCAGGCATTTTGGTATTATCCATGTCCGTATCCATGAGCAAGTCTGATATAAACTCGCTCTTTATACTAGGGAGGAAATGCCTGTCTGGTCCTTAAAGGGTTTATCCTCACTTTACAGACATAATGCCACTTAAGTATGAATAACATACTAGGAAGCACTGCTATAACCGATTCTAGAGCGCCTTCGGTTACAGGCTCCTTTTGCTTAATATGTATAATTCAAATGGTGCCTATTTATATATGTATGTGTATATTTCCCAATATGCCTTATATTTTTTGCAGGTTGAGTTGTATTCCCTGCTATTTTTCATTATATATTGTATTGTATTATATGTATTTTTCTGTATTGTAATTGTATTTTAATTGTTTTCTATTTCAACTGTTTAAAGCATATAGCTACCGTATTTTTACTAAAATAGCCCCCTGGGTTAGTTTTTTCAATCGACCTCTTGAGGGGGTGGGGGTTATTTTACTATATAAGTGCGGGAGCTATTTTAGAGAAAATACTTATTTAATTCGAAAGCTAAGGGTATTACAATGGATAACACATCAATCCGGTCAACTATAAACGTTGGTTCGTTGCCACACGCCAAAAAACCTTCTGTATTATCTGAAGAAGGAATAATATAATATAGACATAATTTCTTGCTGTCTCAGGTATTGCTCATGGATTGTGCTGTACTTTATAATCCACAGATCCATTCATCCCCTGTTCTATGAACGTCTAAAATCTTTCTGTCACATTAAGGAAGTAAAGTAACCTAATTAATTTTTGCTCAGCTTCTCATTATTTTACAATTAAAATGTTCTGTTTGAATACACCTTTTAAAAGTATCTCTGTCACAAATTACTCTAAATTACTTATTGTCAGCTACCTTTTAAAATAAAAGTTCAACGACCATAATACCCTTATATCTCCGCTAAAATCTGTCTAGCTAATTTTTAATAAACTTCCTTCCCTTTTAGTGCATTAATCTAAAAAATTTTTTTCCTCCCAAAGGATTAATAAAATATTAAATTGTTGCCATAGACATCATATTAGTAATTAGTGTAAAGCATACTTCACTACTTTGAATAAAAATGTGAAAAGTTAGTGCATTATTTTTTGTTGACAAGTTAAAAGCTTTTAAAATTTTTCTAATACTTGTGAATTATAACCTTACTTTTATACATAATATTAAATTTTTAATATAGTCAGACCTAAATTTTATTTACACAGACTTGAAATTTTACTTAATAAGTAGCTTTAAGATATATTTTTCTAATTCAGTTGTCTAAAGGGTAGATGAGATGACTAGGTGATACCTTAATTATTAAGTCGCTTGATCTTATGGAGAATATTATCGTTCCCAAGGAAGTGTTTTTCGTACCAAAATGTATAAACTGACTGAGACGAAATCTCGAACATATATTTCGATAATCGAGACCGATATTTTTCGAGTTACTTCTATTACCATACGACACGCCCTGTCCTATAACTAGCCAATACATTGTATCGGCTTACAAAAATAAATTGGATTCAAAAACTGTAACTGGACATTTCTGAACTATTTGAACAAATATTTAATCTTAAACTTGCTAAGCGCTATCACACTTGCGAACTTATTATCTCTAGCCGATGCATTAAATCGGCTTACAAAAATATAATGCCTACTCAAACGCAAAGTGGTCTTTCCTAACTTATTGAACTAATCTTATAAAATATTCTTAAAAATAATTTTAGATAATTTGTAAATTTATAACTCTAAGGAAATTTATAATTTGTAAATCTTTTCGATTCTCGTATGACACTCCCAGTCCGATCTCCAATAGTCGATATTGTGATTCAAAAAGACTAAGTTATGCATTCTGAACCCCTCTAAGCATTGCTCACACCTCACACCCATCAAATATCATTAGCCAATGCAATGCATAGGCCTACAAAAATAAACTTGCAACAAGGAAATGGTATTGGTGGTGATAAACTTATTGAACTAATTTTTAACTTTTCTTAAAAATAATTTTATATATTTTACAAATTTATAATTTTCAGGGAAATTTATAAAGCATTAAATTTGCAATGATTTCTGAAATTGATAGTACCAATAGCAGCACTAGCTCTCCTTCATATTCTCCTCAATCTTCAAATATTTCTCTTACTAATTCTGAGCTTTTCACCATAGCTAATTTAAACTTGAATATTTCTGAACCAACCACATCCCCAAACAACAGCCCAATCCAAATGTCAGTTCAAACTGCAAATTCACTTTTACTATTACATTTGGCCCAGATGCAACAAATTTTTCAGCAAAATAATGAAAATATGGTACTAATTAATCAAGCAATTATTGCTGAAAAAGCAGCAATGGCCAAGGAGTTGATTAGAATTGGTCAGCTGAAGCAGCTTAAGGAAATGAAGATAGATAATGTTGTTAAGAATGGGTAGGTCTAAATTTAATATCATTCACGAAAAGGGATCATGTTGCAAATTACTAATTTAAGGAGTGTCCGATAGATAGTATTAAGCTTAACTAGGCTAGCCATTTCTCCTTCCGCTAATGCAAAGGCACACTCGAATTAAGTTATTTAGTTTTGAAGGGATTACTTCTGATCGGATTTTTAAAAATATTTATTTTCTAATTATTTCGTTTATATTAAATTTCAATTTTATTAATTTAACGTTGTGGATTGTCCCAGTTCGTCTTATTTTTTGGAAGCTGAACGTTATTCAGCTAAATATCTTTTACTCCTCCTCAATTCCTTAAACTTATGCAGAGATATACCAGGGATATTTGGTTTTCTCTGGTGTAAATTTGGGTGTCTATTGTTTAAAATGTTGACTAGGGAAAAGCATCCATATCTTGAATAAAAGTGTATCCTACTCCATATATATTTTTTATTTTTTAGAACCACAACAAGCCCTGAACTTTGTTTAGAAGGAATGCCTTCTGTAAACAACGACATTAACAAAAACGACTTTTTCACACGTTGTGGGATAACCTGGAATTATTTAACTTCGACACGGTCAATGAGTGAGTTCGATGACCTTCGTCGTCGGCATCAAGTAAATTTTGAATATATTGTCTTTGAAATTAATCTGAAAATTCAGGTCTCAAAAAATAGACATGTCGGTTATGGAATTCGTTATGCATGCACTAGAAATGCTAAAGCAAGGGATAATTGTCCTTATCTATTACTTCATATTCCTGGTAAATTTTATTTAATTTAAAATTGAAATAAAGTTTAAAATTAAAGGAAATAACGGCATTCAGCATGTTTACTCTCGAAATTGTCATACTCATCCAATCAAACATATCCGGTCAAGAAATAGAAACTGATTTGATTTTGAATACCTCTGGAATATTTTCGAATAATACGATTTTTAATTTAAAAGATTTGATAAAAATTTTGATAGAAAAGTTCATTGTAAGAAAATTCGATTAAGATTTTACTCATCCAATTAACTCGTCCAAAATTAAAATAATTTTTAAATTTCATGAAATTAACTGGTCGAATCAAGCTACCTTTTTTTCTGAAGCAGCGCATGATTTGTCAATAAAGATTGACATTCAAAAATACAAAAATTTATTTAAGAAGATTAGATTTATTTTTTAAAATAATGTTTCTATAATTCATTGTATTCTATCCTCAATACTTGATCCTTGCAAGATATGACGGTTAATTTTTTGGAAGCTGAACTGTATTCAGCTAAGAAATCTATAGAAAATCGCAGGGTATTGTTGTCTGATCGAACCTAAAAATATTTGTTTTCTTATTATTTCGTCTATATTAATTTTTAATTTGTTTAGTTAAGGAGTATGTATATTTGTGGAGTTCGTCTAATTTTTTGGAAGTTGAACTGGATTCAGCTAATAAAGTTAATTGTTAAGACCATAAATCGTCGAAAGCTTTTTCCGATAATACCGGTACTTCGAAAATAAACTAACGAACATCGAAATTTATCTATTCTGTATTGTGGAGGCTAATTGCTCGCATTCTTCTTTATTTGACTACAGGCAAGAATTAACGGTGAATCAGTCTTTTTTAAACAAAAAGACGCCCACGTATTTTGGAAGCCAGCTCGTACCAAAATTCGTAATATGGTACGAAATACAAGTACGAGCAAAATTGAAATTTATGAGCACTGGTTAGGACCAACTCTATTTGCACAATTCTGTATTAGTTAAGAAACCTTGCCTAAATAAAATGTAGAATATAGAATCTAAGATTAGGGGGAATTTTTTATGTTTTTTTATTTTTTGGGAGCTAATTTTACATTAGCTAATTTATGCGAAATATTTAAGTATTGCAGAATATTATTTAGATATATTTATTAGATATATATTCTCTTGGCTAATTATTAGCTTAATTTATCATAATATTGTTATTAATAGTTGGTTAACTAGTGTTTAAAAAAAGGTTTACCCAATCATGCAAAAAATACACAGACTCGAATGAAAACTCGAGTAGTCAGTTAATGGTCTAATTTGGTTCTGATTATTTTAGTCTATTTTCTATTTTGTGGGGGAGCTTAGCAACTTTAATTTTCACATTAAGGTGTGTGAAGAAATTATATGAACAAACCTATTTTTCTTGTTTATTTAAGTTCCTGAAGGTTTTGAGTTTCTATAAAAGAATCAAGCAAATACTAATCGATGAACCTTCAGGAACTCAGAGTAAAAAAAATATGTGTCGTGACTGCTTTTTACGGGAACATTAATCTGTCAATAATGATTGACATTCAAAAATAGATACATCATTACTTTGGGATAAGCAATTATTCTCTAATTAGAATGTACATATTTAATTAAATTTGAATTAAAAGTTATTGTATAAAATTTATGAAAAGTTTATTTTATGAAAATATGGTTTTAAATAGACACAAACTCCATAAGTAACGAATTAAAAACACATTAAAATTTGTCATTTAATATTTTATTTCCTCACTTCAAGCAACGATAGTACAAAATTCTGGGGGTTTGGGCATTTCAAGTTTTGACGATTTTGAAGGATTTAGTTGTTTGCGTTCAGCTGGGAGAGTGGAAGTTTTGTCAGTAGACTCGATTTCGTCAGAATCCGATCCAAAATCAAAGGGTTTCTTGCCGAAAAAGCGTCCAAATGATTTGCCAAATGATTCAGAAACTTGCTAAAAATAAATTGGTATTATTCGGTTATTTCCACAATTTTATTTTTCTTCTCTTTTTTTTCTTTCTTCAAAAAAGTAGACACCCGGAAACACCCCCAAATTACCGCAAGGCAAATTTACCGCAGAAATTTACCGCAGATCTTTGAAGAAACAAAGATTGGAGAAGAAAATAAAATGGAGGGAAGACAAAAGTATAATTGTAGGTCCGAATTGTAGGTCCTACAGTAGATTACCCGGTAAAAAATTGAAAAATATACTTATTTTAAATTAAATTAGTTTTTACGTCAAGAAATTCAAATGATTTAAGTTTGATTTTTTGCGAAGTTGATTATTTTTGGAAACTCATCAGTAGAGCGTGTTTTTTTAGGTCTAAAAAATTGGTAAATAGGATCCTATTTAGGTCCAAAAAAACTTAAAAATAGGTCCGAAATAGGTCGAAAAAGGCCAAAATAGGTCCAAATTTTGACAAAATAGGTTCTAATTTTGGTTGAAATTAAAACATTTATGATATCACTTTTACTAAATTTGAACTCTTTTATGATATTTTTTTATTTTAAATAGAAATCTACTGAAATTTGAGTGATATAACAATGCCTAACCCTAAATACCGTAGCATTTTAAGGGATTTCGTAATATAAGGGGTGTACGAGATAAAATGGGATATCGATGGATTTGAATTGAATGGGGATTTATTGGGTTAAAGGGATTTGGATAGGCGGGGGAGTTGTAGCATTTAATTAGGATAAAGAATAATTAAAGAAATATCTTTGATTTAACGTTATATCGTGAGATTTTTTTTTCAAATCCACCTAGGGGGATTCTGAGGTATAAGTGAAAGGAAAAATTAAAAACTAATTTACTAAAAATAATAATCCAGAACCCCCACTTAACAACACAAATCTCCGTTATCTCTTTTAATCGCCCAAATCAATTATTCCACTCCAAATTCATTGATATCTTTTTTTATCTGTTTAAATTCCCAAATAAACAAATAAAAATTTAAAAAAAAATTGTTGACCAAAATATGTCGGCATTAAAGTTCAATATTCAGGGAAAATCACTGAAATGTCTAATATAAATGTTAACCTTACAATTATCGAGTGCAGTTCTAGTTCGATGGCAGATTCTAGTTCCTACTAAATGAAGATATACCAGAATACTAGCGCCGCAGGCAAAATTTTTTTGGGTTTTTGGGTGTTTGAGATGCTAGATTTGGCGGAAATTGACTAAAAATAAGCAAATTTAAGAAAAATTTTCAAAAAACCTAGAATAGGTCCAAAAAAGGTCGAAATAGGCTCAAAATAGGTTTTAGGTCCGAAAAGGTCGAAATAGGATTTTTAGGTTTTAATATCTCGAAAAGTACGTTACACTATGCGGTAAAACAGTGTTTTTTCGACTTATCTCATCAAGGGCCGTTCGCAAAAAAAATAGGTAAAAACCTAAAAAAACACGCTCTACTCATCAGTAATGAGTTAATTAGTGAATTGACCGGATTTCTCCGAAAATCAGATTTTTTGTGGGAACTTCCCATGGCCGCCCTTGGACGATTAAAAACCAAGATTTTGATTGTTGTTACGTCTGGCCTAGCCCAACATAAAAAATCTTACGCGATTAATTTGCTCATTCAACGCCTTTTGGTACTCCTCCAATTTCTCGTCGAATTCCTCCAACTCTTTTTGCTCACTCTCATTCAGTTTGCGAACAAAATTGTTTCCAATGTAAAGACTGTCTCCTTGAACCATACATCCATTGAATACAAATTGAGTTCTGGCCTTTAAATAAGAACGGCTAATTATTGTTTCGAACTCTCGTTGTAAGGGGAGGTGGGAGGTAATTAATTAGATAAATACGGCATGTTTTTTACTTATTATAATGGAATCCTATCAAACATTCATCAATAAAAATTTGCTTAATATATAATTTGATTATTTACAATTTTAATAAAGAATATCTAGGACAGCATTATCCTACTTAAAGAGACGAACGAGTGATTATTTTTGTAAGTCAAATTTTATTTTGACTAATCTACAAAGGAGTTATTAGTAAGATAGTTAATCAAGGATGAATAGTTCTCATGATAATTTTCTTATTATCATGAAATTATATAGGGTACCATATTTCTCTAGGTATAATCTTAAATTCTAAAAGAGGCACAGTTAACCCACCTTCTGTCCACAAAAACTTGGTGACTTGGGAGGTTCGGGAGCCTTTTCCTTTGTCTTGCCTTCTTCTTCCCCTCCGAATGGAGCATTCCAATTATCCTCAAAGTACTTTTTAGATTTATTGCGGTATTCGGCAACATCATTCTTGTATTGTTCTAATTCTTGAACTTCATCAGGGTTCAAATCTTTTGTGAATATGCCGTTTATGTAGAGCTTGTTGTCCTAGAAAATTTTTTTAATTTTAAAGATTTTAATGAATTTTAGCTTAAATTTTATATTTTTCGGGGTTCTTACTTTTTGAAATTTAATGAGGAAATAGGAGAATATCTCAAAAATAATTAGTCAATAAAGGTTGACTTTCAAAAATATATATCATCTACTAAAATCTACTTTTTTATTTAAATATCTGTTATAAAATTTAAGGCATTTAAAAAGTTCATATTGTGTATTCGATCATATTTTGAATTTACTGAGGAAAAGAGATGTGACCGAAATCTCTCGATAATTAGTCAACATTTATTGACTTACAAAAATATTACAATTGAATTACCTAGTAGAACTATTTCCTCAAAATATTGTATTGTATAAATTTAAAATATTTTAGACAATTTTATATTAAATATATTTTTTACCGAAACAACGCAACCAGTACTTCCACCACTGCTAAAGCTTTGAAAAGTAGAAACACCTCCACAACAGAAACGGCGGGCACGTGAGTTGTGGGCCAGATCAGCGTTAACACTGAAAAGTTTATGCGTTATTAAAATTTTTAAGAAATTATTCGAAGCGCGTATTTACTTGCTTAATTGACCATATCAGGGATAGATTTAAACAATAATTGACCAAGTTAATTAATCAAGCAAATATGTATGATTTTAAGAACTCGTTCATTCGACTCTTAAAAACTACATATCTGTTTAATAGCAATTTATATATTAATTTAATAATTAAGAGAATTACTAGATATTAATGGAATCATTTTTGTCCTCTACTCTTGATATTTTTTGGAAGTCAAGCTATGCTTAGGCTAATATGTATAAAGCTAATCCTTAACTGTATCGAAGATTTTTCCATAGCTACTGATTCTTTTAATTTTTGCTTGTCTGCTAGATTGTAGAGAATTAACATCTCAGACCTTACTTTCCTGAATCAAAACGTAAATACTTACAAAAATATCCCGATCAAATAAATTAAAAGTATCACGAGTTTCCTCATCATTTTAAAATAATGTTATTGCAGAATAAATTAATAATAATATTTTTAATCACTGATAAATAAAGAAAATTCTTTTAAAAATAAATTTGAAAAAATGGCTAAAATAAGGGAAAATTGTTGTGTAGGCACAGAATTATGTAGATATGGCGATATATGTAAGTCATTCAAATTGCTTGCAAGAGCTGATTCAAATGTCACCAAAATTAACTCAAGGACAGTGGATGGAAGCTCGTACCAAAATTCGTACTCGCACCTGTATACGAAATATGAGCATGAGGTAAAAAAGCCTGTAAGAAAGTACGAGTACGAGCAAAATTTCGAAATTCCAACCACGCCTGCGGACTAAACTAGGGCCAAGAAACAGACACAAGAAAATTTAAAACCCAGGAGGGGCCAAGCTGATTTTGGAGAGGAAACTAAAATAAAAAAGCAAAAATATTTTTGATTTCCCGCAAAAATAAAATAACAACTTTGCTTTAGTCAACCCAAATTTAGAACAGATTAAAAAATAAAAAATAAATTTTTAAAAAAGATCAAAAATCGAAAAACCCCTCAAAACCATTCAAAAACTATTAGAGCATATCTTTAAAAATGACAGAAAAAATCAAAATTTTATAGGGATAAATAGAGGAGGGAATCAATGGGGAAAGGTTATTTACGTATTATAATGGATGGCAGATGGTTGTCATTCGAGAAATTTTTCATTTGTTATTTTAGTGAATGGAAAAAGAGAAAAACGAACTCCGCACTTAAGAAAGGAGGGATACGAGGGCGCGGAGATTTTTTGGGCTTTTGGAAGGATTTTAAGCATAATTCCCTAGTGAAAGTCAAACAAACAAACAAACAAAGGACTAGGGAGAACACTACGAACAATGGGAGTTTGAAAGGTACTGTTTAGCCTATGTCGGGAGAATCTTAAATAAAATTGTCTAGGTATATACAGGGGTGTGCCTTTCCTGGGGTAGGGGTTGTGCCTCCATCTTTCAGTGAATTTTCGCCTCCCTTGGTGTTTCGCCTTTTTCCTTCGTCTTTTGCTTTTTAAATGACTTACTTTTGCCTCTAGTCTTCTTTTAAAATCTCCTGGTATAGGGAGAACAGTACTAGAAATTAAGCCATAGAGATGAAAGAAGTGATGTTGTAGGGAGACGGGAGAGTTGGAAAAATGAGTTAGAACAACGAAAGTAGTCTCTGTCATATTTCTGGTGCCACCTCACCAAGAGGATCTGTCCAAGACCCGCCTATTGTCAACCTTAGTAAGCAACATTCTCATAATTTTATTAGCCAGCTCCCTTAGCAGTCCACGCCCAAACATTATTTCAAAAGAAGAAAAGAGCAAGGCCATTGACGACTAATTTTAAAAACATTTCTAGCAAAATTTTGAAATTATGAGTCATCGCGATTAAATGAAAATGCGAGGGAAAGGTGTGTGTTTGTCATAAGCGTAAATAAACAATTTTTTCAAACGAGGAAATATTTCTGGAAAATTCTAAAATGAGTGAGTGATACGCACAGCTGTTCAAATAAAATATAGTCGACAACAAGAAGGGAAATGCCAAATGTCAAATTAGTAAAATTAATTTTTAAAAATGATTGAGAGAGAAGGTTTATTAACAGTCGATGGATGACATTGCCTCAATAAACCTAATAGAAAATCTCAAAAATTTTTTAAATTGTTAACAATGGATTGGTTCCCGTTCCGGAACCGATGCGGCTCCAGTTCCAGTTTTGGAATAAAATAGACGACAAAAAGTTACACGGTTCCAGTTCCGGAACGGAACTGTAAACCGATGTCTGGAACCGGTTTGGAACTGGGGGGGGGAGGGGGATGGTTTCGGGCTTCATTTTAACACTTTGACACTTTTGTCTTATTTGATTATAATTCCCGTAGATGATCAAATAATTAACCTCTATAAGTATATCTGCAGATTTTCCAACGCTTTTTAAAGTCGAACTTCGTCCCAAAGTTCGAGTTTTACTGTAAAATATTTAATAATTCAAAATAGTTAGAATAAATGACAAAAATAGTAGATGAGATTCGCTTGCTCGCAATAGAACGTCTTAATTTTTGGAAGTCGAGTTTTCACTTTGACTAATTTTTTGCTATCTAATTGTAAGTTTAATTAGAAAATTAATGACATAGTGTTAAAATCCAATTCGTTCATATATAAATGAAATTTAAATATCAATTATTTCAATAAACCTAACTATATGAGCTAAAATAGATCCAGATTACAATGTAATTCGCCATAGATTTGTCTTTATTTTTTGGGAGCTAATCAATAATTTAGCTAAGAAAAAACTTGGAATTAACTCAGTGAATGTTTATTTTTTTTTATTTTTATTTTTTACGCCTTTATGAACGTTGTTCTCCAACATTGTAAACATTGAAATTACAACATAATTATAAAAGTTGGAAAATCTGCGAGATTAAACTATTTTTGATTATTATTTTAAAGATATATATTAATTTATAAATTTGGAGATAAAAGTAAATTTGAATTATCGTGGAACTAATTGATTCTTCGTTTTGACAAATTATTTTTGCAAGCCAAGCAGTGCTTAGGCTATTCGTGCAGGATGATTAATGTGTATCTTAGGATTGGGATTCTAGACTTGGTCACTAAACCTTTGCTAGACTCCGATAGTGGTATTTAGTTTATTTCCTTATGTATTTAATGTCACAATTTAACTGTAAATGCTATGAAATTACGATAAATCCATTAGCAGAAAATTTGATTTATATAAAATATTTCATTAAACCTAGCTATGAAAGTACGATGGATCATATCCATAGTGTCAGCGGATGATTGAGTTGCGTAATTTTTTGGGAGCTACGAGATGACTTAGCTAAACTTTTTGCGGTTAAGCTTAATTTATGAATTTTCACATTGTTCTTAGCATAGTTAATTATGTGTTTAGTGTCACAATTTAACCGTGCTTTCAGAGTATTATTTTTTAATTTTTAGATTCAAGAAAAAAGAGAAATTAAAATTTTATTTAAATCATTTAAGGCTAATTAATTTAATCTCATTTTAAAATCACAAAACTCCCATTCCTTTCAAATTAGTGCTAACAATAGTTTTAAGAACAGAGTTAAAAACAATATCTAATTGGTTTGTATCTGTAGCACAAGTTTCGTGAATATAAAGTTTTGATTTGTTTTTGTAGACATTTTGGAATCTGCTGCGGAGAAAAGTGATTCCTTCTTCATAGTTTAATCCGCCTTAATTTATAATTTGAATAATATGAAATTTTTTAAAAATTGTATTGTAAATGTCACACTGGCCAGAAATCGGTGCAATAAATAACAGCTTGTCATTTTATTTTTGTAAGACAATGTGATTCATTGTCTAGTGTACAGATATCGTGTCTCTGGCTGATCTTATTCCAAAAACCTTATCACGGGTATTAAAATTTCTGAAAAATCTCTATCGTAAAATCGGATTTTATATTTATATCGTATTAGAATCCGCATCTTCACAATTTAACCGTAAATGCTATGTCCAAGAAACGGAACGCTTGTTTGACATCTTCACAAAGATGGATTTTTAATTTTACCTAAACAGTTAATAACTTTTCAGATAAGCATAAAGGATTAACGAGTTGATAATAAAGGAATTTTTTGGAAAAAGGATGAAATTATGAAAAGCTGGGTTTTTACTGTAAAATATTTAATAATGCAAGAACAATAACGTAAAAGTCATGAATATTTTATGACATGTGAGAACAGTTGAGGTGTAGATCAATTTTTTGGAAGTCAAATTTGAATTTGACTAATTTTAAATTATCTGAATAGATAAGTAACTTAGGTATTTTTACCCTTAGCTGGAGGGGTAATTATTTAAACATTTATGGTATTTTTTCACTTACCACCATAAGAAAGGAATAGAATGCTGAGCGATAGCTTTTTGATTTTCTCCTCAAATAAATCTTTTTTGTTCAAGAATAGAATCATTGTGCTTTTGGCAAAGTACATACTGTTGGCTACATTGTGGAATAATTCTAAATTTTTTAAAATTATTTCGAAATTTTTTTAATAATTATAGAAAACTGGAGTCTGTCTTACAAATTTTATTCGACAATCTCAGTCTGATCCTGTTAAACATACCGATTGCTTCCATTAGCCGATTCTGAAATATTATAAATTAATTTCGTTTCGATCATAAACTTTGTAAAAACGAGGCTCTATTCATGAATATTAAAATTTGATTTAAATATGCATTAATTCATTAAACATAATTATAAAGGTCGCAATTGATCTGCTTAAGAGGGTCCACTTAGCATACGGGTTATGATTTATTTTTTGGAAGCTAAGTTATAACTTAGCTAACAACGCAAAAACCTAGCAATAAACTTTGGCTAATATTTATTGCTATTAAGGTTAATTTTTGAGTTTTATTTTGTTTACCGTTCTGTTATCCTCCCTAACCCGTTGATCATATTCACTAATTGCCGCAACAAAAATAATAGCATTAACATCATCAAATACGTGTATCCATTTACGCCTTTCTGAGCGTTGACCTCCTACATCGTAGACACTAAAAATATTAATTTAAAATGAAATTTGAAACTGAACGTGGAATATTGGTAGTTGTGTTAATTAGAAATTTGTAACTTATTTTTCAATAAACCTCATAGTCTAATCAAGGGAGGTGTCTGTATATCCGTAATTATCCGTAATAATTAACTTTGATCAAAGTTCTCCTGTTTAGGGATTGCTGATTTTTAGTTGTGTATTTAAAGATATATATTAATTTATAAATTCAGAGATATGAGCTAACTTAAATTTAAGCGAGATAAGTATTAGCAATCGGCATTTTATATTTTTGTAAGCCAAGCAGTGCTTAGGCTATTCATACGATATTAATCAGCCGGTATCTGCACACATAGTTAGAGTAAACCTAAATAATTTTCGTGTCATACTGTCGAGATTATTAGATTTGTCCAAGACCATACATTTTTCATGACTAATTACCCTAGGCCAAGACTTACCCAAGACCAAAAAACCCAAGAAAAGTCTCGTGTCTTGGGTTTCAAGACCAAGAGTCTTAAACAGCTCAATAAATTAGTTTCCTAATCAAATGTTCTTTGTCTGTGTATTTAAAATAAATTTGAAGCATACTTGAATTCAATACTTTTAAACATAAATTGCAATTTAACTACGCCAGTTGTAGCAACTCTGGTTAGTAGAACATCTCGACAAGTAGGTCTGTAATCTTTTGCTGCTATCCTGTCGATGTTGTCGAAGAAACTAAAAATTATACCCTTATTCTCTCTTATACTGTATGAAAGGGAAAATGAAGGACAGTCGTTCTATTAGAGAATAAGGTAATAAGTTACTTTTAGAATCCTTAATAACTCTCAATTTATATTACTTCTACTTAGGTCTAGCTTACATTTACAGGAGGTGTGAGTGTCTCATTTTTAGTCGAAACTAATTTTCCTACTATGAAGCGCTGTCTTGTATATGATAATCACACCGCCTTTCATAAGCCACACGCACTGCTGGATCTCTCCATAAATTTTTGATTGCCTCTGACACAATTATCGGAAGTGAGCAATATTCCCTGCCAGAATCTATGTGCCTTTTAATTGCGTTGATGTCTGCCTGATAATAAAAATAATAGAAATATAATAATATAAAAAAATTGAACTTGAATTGACCTCCTATAATAAATAGAGATCAGATCGAATAAATGGGCTCCTATACAACTCATCCAATTCTTAACTCATTTAAACTTTAACTCATTTACACGGCCAAAAAGGCTTAAGGAATTTCAGCCGTTTAGATGAGTTAAACCTTTTTGGCCGTGTAGATGAGTTAAGCATTGGATGTGTTAAGGGGACACGAATAAATACTATTTATCGAATCTACTTTTATTGATCAAACGTTTTTATAATTTTTAATTTTAGCTAATATGTTAATGATTTAGACTGCTTAACTTATCACAATTTAGTCAAATAAATTGACTTGCAAAAATAACTATGATTCCCCAAAATCCTTGTTGGATATTATGTTTTTGTTGTTTATACATATACACTTAATTATATTAATGTATATTATGACACTATCTTCATAATTTTTGATACACTATTTATAAAAAGCCTACTGTAGAAGTTGGGTTGCTAAATTGTATGCCCAAATCATACATTGCTGCAACAATTTCTGCCATGCTTCCAACCGTGTTTGAGAAGACTATATACTTTTTCCTTTCCAAATCTTCTATACTAAACCAGGGCTCTCATCGACAAAATGCCACTCAAAAGTATCAAAATCTTGATAAAAAAGTATATAGGGAGAAAATTTCCAAATTTAAAGTATACTCAAAATTAAATTGGAAAATATTTGTTCGTGCTCAAATCTTTTATATTTCTCTCTTAAATGAATCTTTTCTAATAATTTCTTGCTTCCATTGGGCATTTTGTGCATTTCAACGCATGACATGTCAAAATTCGCTGATACAAGAAATAAAGCCCTGACAGTCTTAACCTCAAGCTTTCGTCCATTTTCAGCGCCGCAGGCGAAAATTTTTTGAAATTTGGAGCCCAAGTAGTCAGATTTCTCCCATTTTCAGCGCCGCAGGCGAAAATTTTTTGAAATTTGGAGCCCAAGAAGCCAGATTTCTTTCTTTTTCAGCGCCGCAGGCGAAAATTTTGATAATTTCGAAGGCCCAAGGCTAAAAAAATTCACTTTTTTGCCCAATCCCTTCCCCAATTTCATTTTCAATCCAAAATGTTGATTTTAAAGTATATACTTTCAATAAAGTATAAATTCAATTTCTTAAGTATGGAGGTCGGTTTCAAAGTATAATACTTTCAAATAAAGCACGAATGAGAGCCCTGTACTAAACCCATTAGTGTGCAATATTCTAAGAAAATCGTTCAGATTTTTAAATAAATTTCGGAAATACTCACTGCATTTGTTTGACACATGTACTTTTGCCGCTTTCACTTGGGCCTGAAATAGAAAATTAAATTTGTTTTAATTTTTTTATTTCATGCTGTAAAAAATTCATGGGATACGAGATGAAAATAGAACCATCATGGATTGATGGCCTATTCATCCTTCTTTCTACAAATGCGGAAACAACTATTATACACAAAAAATTAAATTTTACCCCTTAGCCCCTTAGTCAAAAATGAATAGAAATCGTAGGGATGTCTCCCAAAGGGCTTCTTAATATAAGTGGCTCCCAGGACTCCCAACTCCACTCCCAAGACTACCAACTCCGACATAGCTTCTCGTCGCCCAAGGATACGAAGCAGGAGATCACCCAATAAGTTTTTAGCCCTTTGGTTTTAAGATACTCTATACCAAAGGAACTGGCTTCGACACCAACCAAGTAGCTACTTAGCTGGAGATAACCCAATCAGTCTCCAACACCTTTGTTTGTAAAATCCCTTTATGAAAATTTATTAACGCAAAACTTAAACAAAATCAAGTTAATAACTACCTAAAATCAAAAGTTTTTGTAGAACATTTTTAGGCTTTTTCATTAGATCAAGGTCTATCTGTTTTGAAATTTGATCCGCACCAGTTTCCTCGATTGACTCACAGAGGCCCATAACTATTGAAGTTGTTAGCTTTGTATGAAGAGATTATTTATGAATAAGTTTAAGCTCTAAAACGATTATTAGGTATTTGTTAAATAAATTTTTAAATGGATGGGAGAACATGGACACAAAAAGACAAAATTGAATTAAAAATTAAATGTGTATCTCTATAATAACAATTTTTATATTAATTAGTGCTTAAATAATACATAAATGAATTAGGATCATCCTGTAGACTGTATCCGCGTTTTTGGATAATTTTTGGAAGCCAAGCTAAGCTTCGGCTAATATGCTTACTTTTTCTTAACTTTATCATAAGGTCACTTGACTAAAACGGCTAAAGCCATCTCTAAAATAGCAAAAGATAGGATGATTCTGTTATGAGAGCTCTCTGCTAGAAAGTTTTGTTTTTGGTAGCTAGTTTTGTTGCAAGATTTTCTACTCTGTTCAATAGCAATTTTTATTTTAATTTAAGCATAAATATTAAGTTAATCAGGCTAAACACGGATCCATATTTACAAAGTAGGGGGGATGATATTTTTTGGGAGCCAAGCTACGCTTAGGCTAATATAATGGTCTATTTCGCAATTTTATTATAACGGCCCTTGAGTAAGGTGGCTGCAAAAAATTGGGACTTGTCCTGAGAGTTTTCCGATACAAGATTGTTAAACGCTCATAAATCTCTGCCGAAAATTTACCGAAATTTTAAATGGATACTCTGTTCAATAGCAGTTTTTATTTTACTTTAAGCTTAAATATTAAATGAATTAGGCAGCCCTATGTGTGTGATTCTCGCTTTTGATAATTTTTGGAAGCCAAGCTATGCTTAGGCTAGCTAATATGCTAGTTAGTTTATAATAAATACATATAATAGTTACTTTTAACTGAAACGGCAAAATCTATTCTGGGACTTGTCTTGAGAGTTCTCCAACACTAGTTTGTAAAAGCTCATGAATCTCAGCATCGACTGATATATTGGGTAGGACTAATACGGAGGAAATTTCTAGGGATGTATATTGATCGAAAATTTGTTCTGGTTTCGGATTTAGAATTTCGGATAACCCGTGACATTTGAGGCTGTTAACCGCTCAACCTTCCAACCACCAACTGATCCTTTTGAATTTTATTTTATTTTTACTTTATGTGCCAGGCTGGCAGGGAATTTCGCAGGCTTTTCAGGGCTAATAAAACTTATTTAAATTCGCAGGCTTTTATTTAATTTTATTAATTTTGCTTACCTAAGGCAACTTAATAAAATATTCAAACGGTTGCTATGAGTTATAAAAGCTTTCAAGGCTTAATTTTAATTAATTTAAGCTTGTTAAAATATAAGGCAATGTGTAATTTTCTCAAGGTAGCTGGCAGAAAATGTTGGCTTTTTATATGTTGTATTTGGACTCTTCGCTATGTTTGAAGAAAAATGAAAATTTAAACAAAAATTTTGTTCATACGTTGGAGTGAGAAAAAAGGCTGTTAAGTACGTGGGAATTTTTTTTAATTTCGAGGAAATATTTTTAAATTATTTAATCGTAAACAAAAAAATGAAAATTAATTTGAAAAAGTTGGAAATTTTGAGTACGAAAAATTTTTCCTTTGAGTTGTTGAAGTCACTTTAAGCAAGTGACTTTCAAAATTATCGCCTGCGCCGCTAAAATAGGATTCTCCTCACTTATTCCTCTCATATGGAGTAAAACATTTAAAGGATTAATAACGGCCATTTCAAATCTGCCAAAATCAGGCATATCGAAAACGGCAACCATAATAACCGCTAATTAGTATTAAGGCTCATAATCAGAAAGTCTGGGCTTTGAAACCCTATACTTCAAGAAAACAGAATATCTGCATGAGCTTTGCTCTGCATCCAAAAATAAAGCTGCAATATCCACAAGTGACGCAGACCAATATCTATATCAAAATCTCTTATGAATTAGTATTTCAATTATTGAATACTAATGACGCATCCACCCGCTGCCATAAAGTGAAAATTAAAATGTTGAGACTTTTTCATATCCCGACCCCACCCCTATAGCCTCTCTTCTACATTATAAACGTCGATCTTGCCGTTAGAATGTTCATCAGGAATGGGCCGAAAAAGATTGGTGCACGAGATCTCGTTTTGTTTGTTCTATTCGGGGTTAAAAATCTTACGAGTGACCGTTTTATGGGTCAATGCTTTAAGGATCAGGCTTTTTAATCCAAAGAATGATCTTCAGACTAAATTATTTTTAAACTTCGTGAAAAAGACTATATCTTATGGTATATTAATCGGGTACAGGACGTGGTTGTAAATTTGATACAATAGTTTGTACTTTATCAAATGACGTTTAAATTGTTTTGATACCTTTCATCACCATCGAGAAAATCAACTTTAAATAAATTCAAAAAAATCCTTCCAATAAATTGCTCCATAGAAGTCTCTGAAAGAATGTTCACCCCAAAGGGGCAAAAAAAGTGTGGTTTGACTTCGACCATACAAAATATCATTCAAAATTTTTTTGTATTCAAAATTATTATTGGTTCTGCTTTGCTGCTTGCTTAACTCTCAATAAGATGATACAAATCAAGGGAACTATTGACACAAGAATATCTTAAAATATTTAGTTCAACATTAATCATTAGAAATTATATTTATTCATTTATCATTTATTAAAATCTCCAAGTAAAATATTAAAGCATTCCCGTATCTTGTAAATTTTCTTGCACAATAGTATCCAATACAGAATTAAAAACAGATTCAAGTTGTGTGGTGTCTGTTGCACATGTCTCGTGAATATATAATTTTTGTTTGTTCCTGTAAAGTCTGAGAAACTTTTTCCGTAAATAGGCAACTCCGTCTTGATAGTTTAGTCCACCTTTTGAATAAATTAAAATAAATATTAAAATTTTTACTGGTTTATAGTTTTAAAAACTATCCTAATTAGTCACAATTTGGAGCTTAATGAAAATTAGATGTATGGTAAGTTATTTAAGTCACACGGTATTTAGCCATACTGAGAGGATGGCTTCCAAAAAATAGAATATTGGCGACTATACGAATTAAAAGCTCGTAGTTTTTTTTAATTAAATACAAATTTTATTGAATAATAAATACTAAACAATTTCACTAAAGTGAAATAGAGCCGGATTTTGTAGGAAAGTGGAAACTAGTGCCTATAAGGTTTATTCAAGAATCACAGTATTTTAGCCAACTTAAAAGTATAGTTTTCAAAAATATCAAAAGGTCCAAGAAAAGACACATAAAACAAAGGATTTCTAGTTATAAACGGTAAATTAAATTGAATAATGGATATTAAATAAAATTTCAAAATCAATTAAATTTCAAAATTAACACCTTTATAAGAAGAGAAGATGATATTCAAAGAAATTTTTTTGATTTTCTCAGAGAAGATATCAATTTTATTGAGGAACAAAATCATTGAGCTTTTAGAAAAGAACATGCTATTTGTAATGCTTTCGAATAATTCTTGAAAAATTTTGAAAATTATTTGTAAATTTTAATGCTTACCTAGAGCCTCCAAAAGTCGATTCTAAAAAGAGAATATAATTTTAAAATAAATTTTTTAGAATAATTTTCGAGACGATAATAAAATTATTCTGGACCCCTATGTGTAGTACTTAGGGGTCTGTTATCCGTAAGTATAATGTACTTCAATGTCATAATACTAACATGACAAAGAAGTAAGAGTTGAACCTAACAGAAAAATTAAATGTTCTCCGGTGGAGTTTAGCACTGTCAGCTTTACTCTCAATAGGTATTAGCTACCTTGATATAATAGCTCCCAAAATATTTAAGCAACTCTAATGTGATGCCAATCCCTAATTCGTAATATATTTATATCCCTCAAGTATCTAACATTTTAGAAAATTTAATATTAATCTAAAATTTAAAAATGTTACAACTTAAAACTATCCGGAATCTAACTGAGTAAACCTAACAGGAAAATCTTCAGTTTTCGGCTCATCTCAGCACTTAAAACAGTAAATATTAGCTATTTAATACAATAGCTTCCAAAAAATTAACGCAGAGGTGATCAAAACAACTCCTTACTTTAACTCACAACAAAAGTACATAACCCTTTCACAAATTAAATATTAATCAAAATTGCAAATCTAACAATTATCCTAAACAAACACAAACTAGAAAAGTCTCTATTCGTCGGTTAACTTAAGATCCGTCTAGCCAGAGGAGGGTACAAGAAACAATTTCCACAAACGCAAAACGTACTGCGCTCGCCCTGGTCAGCATATCAAAACCATAATAGCCATGGATTGTATAATGGCTTACAAAAATAACAACTCAAACACATAAGTGACACTTTTTTAATTTAGTACTTCCCTAAAGTACTTGATTTTTTCGAAAATTAAATATTAAACAACTTTCCTATCTTTCAACCTTAAAACCACCCTACCGTAGCATTGTCTTCCCGTATTTTCTGGTCATATTCACTGATTGCCACAACAAAAATGATAGCATTAACATCATCAAATATGTGAATCCATTTTCGCCTTTCTGAGCGTTGGCCTCCAACATCGAATATACTGAAAAATTTTAAAAGTTCAAATGGAGGGAACAGATAGGAAAAGATGTTTTAAGGATGGTTCAGCGGGATCGGGATCCTGGTCGGGATGTGGCGGTATTATCCTGGCTTTTTCGAATCGCGATCCCGATTATTCAGATCCTGAGACCGAAAGATAAATGATCTTTAAATCCCGATACAGCTGAACTCTGGTTTCAATGATAGTTCTATCCCATCTCCCATCCAATGAATTTTCCACAGCTCGAAATATTATTTGACCAAAGAATGGGGATAATGGGAAACAATTGGATATCCTTATCAGGGATATTCAATCGGTGATGGGGGAAACCCTAAAAATTTCTGCCCCATTTTTGAAGTCTCTATCATTTTTGCTATAGAGCTAACTGCTTTAATACATTATAGCCAATATTAAACTATGGCTTCCAAAAAATTCAAATCAACTAGCATAGGCGACCGTTCTACAAACAAATTTTGGAATTTTAAATTTACCAACTTTATGATAATCTCAATATTATGTAAATGCCTCGACTAATCAAAACCTTTTCTTTAACTTTAAATTTTTAAACTTGCTTAAAATCAATCCCATTAAGTGTAAAAAGCAATTTAACAACTCCAGTTGTCGGTACTCTTGTATGGAGAATGTCCTGATTTGTTGGCCTGTAGTCCTTCTCTGCTATCCTTTCAATGTTTTCAAAGTAGCTAAAATTTAATAATTTTAATTTTCTTTAATTGGTTATCAGTTTTGTGCGAAATGAAAAAAGTTATGGCTAAAGATCTCGGCTGTCTGTTGCGCTCATGTATAAATTACTCAATATTTAGTTTAGCAGAATTAAGTCGATTTAAATTCCTTACTTATAACAAGTTGAAGAAGGGATGGGAACCTGTGCAGTAAGAGGGTATATTTTTGGATGTCAAATTAATTTTGACTAAAATTTGATATATACATAACACAATTAGACAGCCGATCTGGGCAATATTGGATATCATAGATATCCCCTTACTGGATGTTCCAAATTTAAAACTGGACTGGTGGCGTCATACGATGAATCCATGACCGATAAATAGAAGAAAGCGATTTTAATATACGAGATTTTTGTTCGAGATCTCGTTATGCTCTAATCTCTAATCCTATTTAAATCTATCTTTTATGACCCTCCTTGTCCTGTCAACGGCTCCATGACAATTGTACAGTGGGACAATTGTACAGTGAGACAATTGTACAGTGAGACAATTGTACAGAAGACAATTGTACAGTATTAAGAGCTTTTTAAAAAATTTTAATGTTAACCCAAAATATCGAAAACATATGATCAACACTAAGTTTTTTTAATGTTATTTCACAACACGGGAAGGTTATTCCAATGACGAAACAAACCTCAATTCGTCGAATTGATCAACGAAGTAGGTGATCAATCGTTGGGAATGATCAACATAAAGTGATCAACCAAGAGTGATCAATCAGTTGAGTGATCTGAAAATCGGAAAAGTTTGAGAACTATCGATATCGAAAACCGAGTGATGATCAACCGGAAGAGTGATCAAAAGAGAGCGATAAACGACACAGATATCGATCACCTCAGGGATCAATCAAGATTCCCCTTGGAGATTAATTAAAGCATCACTCTCTCTCGGTTGATTAATTAAAAAATTTGATCAAAATAAACTTCCCCGTCATTGAACAACTTCCCAATGTTGTATAATAAAATTTAAAATCTTTAATATTGATCATATGGTTTTCGATACTTTGGGTCATATTTCTTGACGTTTAGCGCAACATTAAATTCCTTTTTAAAAAGCTATGAATACTGTACAATTGTCCACTGTACAATTGTCCACTGTACAGTTGTCTTCTGTACAATTGTCTCACTGTACAATTGTCCCACTGTACAATTGTCGTGCCACCCTGTCAACACGGCAGACAATTTCGTTCATTTATAATTTACTTAATATTTAGTTTAGCAGAAAAATGTCAATTTGAATTCCTTAGTTTTAATCGAAATTGGTTGAGTGTAGATGGAAGCATAAATATTTTTGGAGGTCAAATTAATTTTGACTAAAATTTGATATTGAGCTCGAGTACGCAGCTACATGGTTTTCGATATAGGATATTATAGATACAGTTACCCTTACTGGATGCTGCAAATTAAAGGCGTCATACGATGAATGCATGAAGTTAAATAAAAGAAAGCGATTTCATTATACGAGATTTTTGTTCAAAATCTCGTTGTATTCTAATCTCTAATCCTATTTAGATCTATCTCATATGCCCCTTTTTGTCTCTGTCTGTGGAGATAAAGTCCTAAAAAACCCAAATTTATTTTACTCACTATGAAGAACTGTCATGAATGTGGTAATCTGCACGTTTCTCGTAAGCTATTCTTATATTTGGATCTTGCCATAATTTTTGAATTGCCTCTTTTATTTGCGAATTGAAGGGAGCAAATTCGAGTCCATTCTCAATGTGTTTTCTGATACTGATGGCGTAATTCTGAAATTTTTAGATAACGTAAATTAAAAATATTAGCCATGTATATATCATAGCTCCAAAAAAACTAAAAATAAGCCTTAAAAATTTTTATTTCTTAATTTTTTCTATTTATCTAATTATAAATAACATAGGTATTCGAGTAATAAATATTAAGTAAATTTATAGTAGTAAAATAGCCAATCGTGCCTAACTCAAAACAAAGTTCTCAAACCCCCTATTTCCAAAAGGTACATCCTAAAGTTCAGTCTCACTGTTCAATGTCTATCCTAACATGAAAGTATACAAAAAAGTTCTTAAACCAACCATCATGTTTTTATCTTCAAATTCAAGACATAAATCAGATTTTGCCTCTAGCAGCTCCAACATGCTCCTGACTAAAATTAAAAATGTTTTTTGAGATTTGTTTAAGCCGTCCTAATTCTTAGGGCCTTTTCTTGGAAATATTTTTGTTCAAGGACAGCTGTATTTTTAATCCTACAATAGTTGAAATTCACCTGTGTTCGAATAAATAATGCATTTGCGCTCTTCGACCTCAGCATGAGTAAACCCATTTAAATGTAGAATTCTAAAAATTGGGAACTAAATAATAAAATCTTAGCGAGTGAAATTTTTAAATTAATGTTCGTTATATTTGCCAATTCAGTCAATGGCATCCAAAAATACATATCAATTTATGAAAGTACTCGTACAAAAAGAAAATTTAAAAAATGACTTATGTAAATTTAATTTTCAAATAATAATCATTAAACAAATTATGTACTAAAAATTGCTCTAACTTGGTCAAAGAATATAAATATAATCGAATGGCATCCAAAAATTTTATACTGAAGATGCGATGAAAAGAAGCGGTAAACGTTAAAATAAGTATGCTTAAGTAATTCGAATTTTCGAACAATAAGCATTAAATAAAGTTAAACTTACTGCATCTGCTTAACACAAGTACTTTTTCCACTTTCAGCTGGGCCTGAAAAGAAAATTTAAAATATTTTCAAATGTCTAAGAGGATTGAAAGAATAGGCCAGATTTTGGCACTTACTATATGGTGTGTAACATAATTATAAAGGAACCCATATTTTCGGTCATATCTCTAGTTTTTCTGGATGAATTGGGCTGAATTTTATATATGTGATAAAAACCCTTATTTTGGCATAAAATGCAAAAAATGAAGCGGTTTTATCAAAATTTAAATTTTTTATGATTTTTTTTCAAAAATTTTGGTGTAACATAATTATAAAGGAAGTAAAATAATTTAACTAAATATTGTAGAAAAAATCCATAAAAATTCCAGTGAACATATCTATTGATATCAATGAGAAATACAAAAGAAACGAAGTTCTAATATACTCCCATCATCGAGATCTCGAAACCCGAAAATCAACGGAAAACGGGGGGTAGATGTCTTTAAAAAATATTTTCGACCCCTTACAGGTGAAATAAAATTTTCATTTTGGGCTTATTTGAAAGACCTTGAAATTTGCTACAAGATAGGTTTCATTTCATAATCCAGAAAAAATTTATTCTTGAAAAATAATGAGTTTTGTTTATAAATTACATTTTCATCATTTTTTGGGGGGCGTTTGAGTGATTTCTTTGACCTGAAAGATTATCACATTAGGTCTTATAGGTGAATTTTTTTCGGAAAATAAAATTAATGCTATCTTGTAGCAAATTTCAAGGGCTTTCAAATAAGCCCAAAATGAAAATTTTATTTCACCTGTAAGGGGTCGAAAATATTTTTTAAAGACATCTACCCCCGTTTTCCGTTGATTTTCGGGTTTCGAGATCTCGATGATGGGAGTATATTAGAACTTCGTTTCTTTTGTATTTCTCATTGATATCAATAGATATGTTCACTGGAATTTTTATGGATTTTTTCTACAATATTTAGTTAAATTATTTTACTTCCTTTATAATTATGTTACACCAAAATTTTTGAAAAAAAATCATAAAAAATTTAAATTTTGATAAAACCGCTTCATTTTTTGCATTTTATGCCAAAATAAGGGTTTTTATCACACATATAAAATTCAGCCCAATTCATCCAGAAAAACTCGAGATATGACCGAAAATATGGGTTCCTTTATAATTATGTTACACACCATATATCCTAAAATTTTGTAAAATTTTTTTGTCAAACTACGCGTTTGGCATCCAAAAAATAAACATATACACGCGACCTATGAGCAAGTAATACTTTAAAAATACATATCGATAAACCTCAAACTACTTTTAAAAATTAATATTAATCAAAATTAAAATATTCGTATATTGTTTTTCAACATTGCACCCTAATGCTTATTGTATTCATAAGTCAGCCTAATCTTTAAATATCATAAAATAAAAGCAATTTGCCATACTAAAGGTATGACTTCCAAAAATATAAAAAGAAACAACAGATGGCCCAACAACGGTTATTTTTTAAAAATAATAAAAGGTAAATTAATTTAAATTGAATATTAAGTAAAATTTTCTATAAAATTTATGCATATTTATGCGGGAATAATACTATTCAAATCTACCTAGCAAAAGCAGTTTTTGAACAAGTTCTTTCGGATCCACTTGTAATTGCTTGTCGATTCGATTAGAAACATTTCGAGCTTTTATCACTTCAGTAGATTGACAAACACCCATTTTATCAATTTTTAAATAAAATTCAATAAAATATACACTAAAATTGGCTCAAATTTTATTTCTAAAAATGTTGCCTTAATTAAAGACATAAAGCAGTAAAAAGAAAAAGATTGTAGCATAGCTTCGTTAATTAAGCGTTTATGCTTATGCCTGACTTAACTTTACTCAGAATACTTTTAAGTAATAAAACGTAACGGCGGCAACCGTTTTGAGGGTAATAAAGGCGCTAGTATGGCTTTGGCATGAATAAAAGGCTTAAGGTCACACGCTAGGCTCTGCTTTTTAATTATAGACATACAAAATTTTTTTGATTTTATCTGTAATTGAGGGCCGATTGAATTAAAAATTCTATTAGAAATTTCTTTTTTAATCAAAGCTAGTCAAAAATGCAAGTAAACGGGCCCAATATTATTCGGTGATGCGACTTTTGCGGCGCGTACACTTGCGGCTCAGACATTTGCGGCCCAGACACTTGCGGCTCGCCCCTATTTAGACACTTATATCCTAAAGGTTTTGTAAAATTTTTTTGTCAAACTACACGTTTGGCATCCAAAAAATAAACAAATACACGCGACCTATGAGCAAGTAATACTTTGAAAATACATATTGATAAACCTCAAACTATTTTTAAAAATAAATCAAAATTAAAATATTCGTATATTGTTTTTCAACATTGCACCCCTAATGCTTATTGTATTTATGTCAGTTTACTCTTTGAAAGTCATAAAATAAAAGCAATTTGCCATACTAAGAATCATAATAAAAGGTAAATCATTTTAAATATTAGATATTAAGTAAAATTTCATATAAACTTTATCTTTAGGCGGGAATAAAATTTATTAAATCTACCTAGCAAAAGCAGTTTTTGAACAAGTTCTTTCGGATCCACTTGCAATTGCTTGTCAATCCGATTAGAAACATTTCGAGCTTTTATAACTTCAGTAGATTGGCAGACACCCATTTTATCGATTTTTGAATAAAATTCAATAAAATATACACCAAATTGGCTCAAATTTTAGTTCTAAAAATTGTTGCCTTAATTAATGTCATAAAGCAGTAAAAAGAAAAAGATTGTAGCCTAGCTTTTGTTAATTAAGCTTATGCCTGACTTAACTTTACTCAGAATACTTTTAAGTAATAAAACGTAACGGCGGCAACCGTTTAGTGGGCATAAAGGCGTTGGCATGAATAAAATTTCCTTTGGCAAAAATTCCTTTGGCATGAATAAAATGGCTTTGGCATGAATAAAAGGCTTAAGGTCACATACTAGGCTCTGCGTGTTAATTATAAATTCACCGCAATTTTTTTGATTTTATCTTTTATCAAGATGGATTGGATTGAAAATTTTTATTAGAAATTCCTTTTTTAATCAAAGCACGTCAAAATGCAAGTAAACGGGTCCAATATTATTTTAAAAAGCTATAGGAGATAATGACGGGTTGTGAGCATGAAAGGGTTGTGAGCAGGGCTGGGCGAAATCTAAAAATAGAAAGCGAAACTTTTCGCGCTGAAAAATGCAAGAATGCGAAAGGTGCGAAACGCGAAATTGCGAAATAAGCCCAGCCTTGGTTGTGAGGCTCGGTTATTTGAATAAATTTTAAAACTTAATTGATTTCTCATGTTAAAATCCCATACGAAGACTTGTGAAAATAATTATATTTTTGTTGTATTCGGCTATTTTAAAAATCCCTAGCTTTTAAACATGTCCATTTTAAAGGTAAGGAAGTAATATTTTTAAGACAAAAAAATAATATTTTCCTCAGAAACATAAAAACGGAACTTAAAGTACAAAAAGAAATCGAGATTTAACACCTAATACTGTGTAAAAAACAGAATATCCCACAAGAAACAAACTAGAAAATTTGAAGCACGAAAAACTTCAATTATAAAGTTACTGAATAAAAAGCTAATAAAATTATTACCTTCTTAGAAATACAAAAATGGTTAACAAAAAAATATAATTTCTAGGCTTAACGATTTTCTTATAATTATTTTAGAATGTAAAATAATATAAGGAGTAATTTGAGGTTAAGTTAAAGCTAACAATAAGATGAAAATAAAAAAATTAATATTAAGTAAAAAAATAAAATAATATGGCAGGTGAATTTAGAATAATTTAAGATTAATTATTCATAATAGCAGATGATATCGTAAGTTAACAATATTAAATCTGAACTTAGGAAAATGTGAGCTGTCACAGAGCTGTCATAAATACGGATAGAGTACATTGGATTGTTTTTAGGCATTTGCATTTTAAGCAGTGAAACTGAACAATGAAAGACTGTAAAACAAGAATCCATTCATTGTCATTAATCCACACCGGGAAGTGATATGGATTGTAAATGGATCCAGCCCAATCTCTAGTAGACTGACTGGACTAAGGTGGATAGAGGTGTATCTATGTCTAACATATTTATACTAGCTGATATTGAAAGTTATTAATTAATTCAAGTCAAAGTGATTAACAGGCCTAGATAGATTTTACTATTGTAAAATTACAGGACCATTGCAATTGTAATTTTTTGGAAGCCGAGAGCTACTCAGGCTACTAGCATCTAATCTTCTAATACCAACTTAAAGAGTCAGTTTTATGTCTGACTTTATGCTACCTAATTCAAATATGTACATTTAGTAAACAGAGACAAAGCAAAAATAGCCCTATAAATTATAGGCTTCCAAAAATAGAATGTCAACAAACAAAACTACAAAGCTAATCGAGGATTTATAGTTAGATATAAGTAAATATTTTTTTTATTTAATTAATACTATTCAAATTTAAACACAGTCGCAACTAAATATAAGATACAATATACATACAATACTGGATAGATTTAAGTTTCTTGACCATTTAGTAGGGAAACACAAAAAGAATACTAGAGTAGACAGGAAACTACTAGAGATATGAAACCACAAAATCAGAATAATATTTTTGTAAGCCGAGAATTTCTCGGGCTATATTCTCGTAACCTATAACTCGCATTTTTTAATCCCTTATTTTTAATTATTTTCCCATGTATTTTATAGCTAGATTTTTGTTGTTCTTAAGCAGAAAAATAAGCAGAATGATCTCGGTTCTACTCACTCACATCGGGAAAGGATCGGGATAAGTAAAAATATCTTCATCTGGACAGGCCTTGAAACTGCAGTCTACGGTTTTTAAAATAAAAATTTGCGGAAATTCTGCTTATTTACGGACACCCCTGGTCTCGATCACTAATTGATATCTTAAATAATTAAAAGAACTCATCTAGAAAATGAGGAATAATTTTTTATTTTGCAACTTTTTAATAAAAATAATGATAGAAATGAATGAAAAATAAAATTTTAATTTTTGGTAGCACTCTGTTGTTGTGAATTGGCCGTATTTGTAATTAATCTTGCTGTCAGGTCTTTCTGAAAAATAAATTTTATACCAAACAAAAGGCAGTCCTCACTAATAGATTCTTCCCTTGAGCTGTCCTGTCTTATAATGAGGGGTTTTGCATAATCAGGTGTAGTATTCTCTAGATATCCCGCCGATATCATGATCGATATCGGCAGATTTGAGTGGATTTCAAGTGATTTGTATGTGTATTCAGGAGAAAACAAAGGATTTGGAAGGAAAATTTTGAAATGATAGACTAGAGATCGGACTAAAAGAATCGTTTCTAGAGAGTTCACGAAGGGTACCTGGATTGAGGACTGAAAGAGTCATTGGAGAGGATACTAAGAAGGTTGTTGGGTAGAGGATTAGAAGGGTGTTGGTGAGCTGGATTATGAGGGTCAAGAATGATAAATATCTCCAAAATCTTATTCTAGATAACCGAGATAATTGTTCGAGATCTCGTCTCAGTCCGTTTTTTATTGAGGAATGACTATGATAAAAAAATTCACCAGAGCATCCAATTCTCGTTGAGTAACAAGTGAAAATTCAGTAACAAAATAATAATAATGTTTGTAAAGCATGTTTGCGTGTGGCTCCTAAATTGAAAATTGAAGAGTTTTTAGAGAATTCTCCTTTTTTGCTCTTATTGCCTATGGTCGTTCGGCTTACATAAAGAACCTAGTATTCATAAAAGTGTAAGAAACATCTGGCGGCATTTAAAACGATTAGGAGGGGTTAAATATAAATACAACGTAAAAGAAAAGGCCAAGTTCCTGACGATTTAATATATAGCCATAGTAAAACTGGCTTCCAAAAAATTTCTTGCGTGGAGCTGAGGAAGGAAGGATAGATGATAATTTAAATTTCAGAATTAAATTTCCTAATTTAAATTGGCATATTTGTACATTTTAATATTATTTAAAATTTCTGATATAATCTAAAAAAAATTTTGGGGGTCCCTAAAAATTTGCCAGAGATGATTTCGTGGAGTTTCGTAGACTACAAAACTGGTTTAGTTATGGACAATTTTGCCGACAGAGTACCGGGCTATCTAGAACCCTTCTCTTTTATCCCAGCCTAATAATAGTTTTAAATGAAGCCAGCTTAATCCCTAAATTTTCAATACCACATGGAACGTGGCAAAAAAGTATGTCAATAAATGTTCTAGAGACCCTACAAAGATCCAAAATATTTTTTAAAAATAATTTACCGCTCCAATCTGAACAAGCTTTTCAAAGTGATGAATATAAATGTGAACAAATATCCGGAAAAGTCTTGACAATATTTTCTTGCAAGTTTGTCGAAAATCGTTGGGAAAGGGAACATCTAGAAATGAAAAAATTGAAAAGAGTGAAGTTTAATAGGCTCGAAGAAGCCTAAAAAATGGAATAAGATTTGGTAAATCTTAAATGAAATTGAAGTCAGACTAAGTAAAAACCTTTAATTCCTGTCTTAGTCTTGAGAGCAGAGCTGTTTCAAATCTGGAAGCTCTTCTAAACACGTAAATCAGAATTTCTAAGCAGCTCTACTTAGGAGTAAGGTAGTAGGGAATGCAGATCACTGGAAATCCCTGATTATCCCGATCGGATATCCGAACACTAATATATCCTAATATCCAAGCCAATTCGGATCCTAAAAAGCCCATTTGTCCCTCACACTTAAAGTAGTTAATAGTGAAAGTTATCAATTAATTCATCAGAGAAAAGTAAATAACAGGACGACTACATACATATAATGAAATTGGAAGGGGGCAAAATATATACATCAAATTTTTTGGAAGCCGAGAACTTCTCAGGCTATTTTCTTCTAATCCTCCTTAATATATTATATGTCTTTGATTTGACCAGAATGTAAAATCTATTTGCTACTTTATGCTAATTGAATTACATTAAAAAAGCATGAATAGCCCGATAAACTATATCGGCTTTCAAAAATAAAAAAAAACTTAAAAGAAGAATCCATCAATTCAATCAAGTTAAGATTATAAGTAAATAATTTTTAATTAATTAATACGTATCAACTTAATCAATCACATCTCTTTATCCCTTATATCTCAAAATTCCGGATTGCGGTACGGAAAATTTTTATAAGTTGCGTTTAGCCCTGTCCACAAGCGATCTTATACCTAGGTCAACCATAAATTAAATAAAATTCACCAGTAGTAGAAGGGAAAATTTTCTCGTTGTTTATACGCTCTTCAATCCAATCCATTAATTTGTGCATATAATCCTTGAAATAAAAAAATTTTTCGAAAAACTTTGTGCCCAAATACTTTAGCAGGCAGCCTTGTCGGTTTTTTTGTATTCAACTCCATCCTGCCATAAATACTCGTATTTTGCCCCTCCACACATTGTTGGGCAAGATTCAACAGTACAACTATCAGCTAATATTCCATAAAGCAAATTTATTCGATTGAAAAAGTCGACAGCTAAAAATATTTTGATTAAATTTAATCAGAGGGTGAAGGTGAATTTATTGATAAAAAAGTTTGAGAGAGGCTAGGTTGCGGCTACGGCACTTTTAAATCGTGGTTACAGCTCTGGATTGAGCAGTCAAAATCTTAGCTAAGGGAGCCTTCTCCGGAGCCATAACAAGTACTGAAGAAGTTCCATAAATACATTTAATGAGACTCGGCATGCTATTATTTGCTTTGGCCCCGGGTGGTTCATTTATTTATCACTCGAAGCGGATCAAGAGCCATTTTGAAATGGTAGAAGCCATGATTTGAAAAGTGAAGGGAAAGAGCCACAAACTTCCAATACTCAACAATACTTTATAATCAATTAAATTGACTTCCAAAAATATTATGCCTCCAAACGACCATCGCTACACATTTTCTGTAGTATGTATTCTTGTTAGATATTTCAATAAATATTAAAGAGAATATTTTGCAAAACTAACGGAAAATATTATAAAAAAATCACCCACTATTTACAGCTAGCCAATCATCCAAAGATTCATTTGGTGGAAGACGCACAACTTGCTTCAAATCAACTCCAGAATTGAGTGTTGCTTGGGCTTGTTTGTGCAAATTGTGACGAAGAGTGCCGTGAGGAAAGCGCTTTTTGGGACGAAATGTCTGAAAAATAAAAGAATAATTTGTATTCGGTAGAGATTTCGTAAAGATCTTGGGATAACGATAACATGCTAGAAGCACTAGGCGTACTCCCGGACCATACCAGACACTAGAGCGCGGAATTTTGTTCCGTACCGTACTACCGATACGGAATACCGATAAATACCGAAAAATACGGCCGTAGTACGGTACGGTCCGCGCTCTACCAGACACAACAAAAATTAAAAAGGGAACAATAAAGTTCAAGCTTACCAAGCCGTTCCGACATAATTTAGCAAAGATTAAATTTGACTCCCAAAAAATAATCAACTCTTCAACCGAGAACCAATTTTACACAATTTTAAAATTGAATTTTTTAAGGAATAATATTAAATAATATGGTACGGTGTAAATTAACGCCCAAAAAATTAATGAAATAGGTAGAATCGACAAAATTTATTGATTAAGTTTAAAAATTAAAAAAACTCACTTTCTGCTTGTTCATATGTAGAAAGTCGAAGAAACTAGTTGCCATGTCCTTTGCGAGCATATTTAAATTAAATTTGAAAATTGAGTGTAGTCAAAAATAAGGATGCTTGCAGTTAAACAATTGATTGGTCTTGTAGTTAAAACAACTTCTAAATGAATAACGCGCAAAAGAAGTAGAGAACTGTTGAAAAATCTAAACCTAAACAGGATTTTATTCAGAAAATTTTAGGCTGTTACGAAATTTAGCCAATATATCTGGCTTACAAAAAAATGAAGCTGAAGGAAGAGCATCGGAACAAAACAAAATTCTCATATATTTATAATTTAGAAATTTAATTATTAAATATTAAGCTCTTTGCTATACCAAAATTCGGAGAGAATTTTCATAAAATAGAGAATTTTCGAGAACGCTTTCTCTACTAATTAAATCGTGAAAAGTGTGTGTCAAAGACCTAAAATAATTTCAACAAAATTTTCTAGGTTTTAAGACATGTTAGAGAAAAAAATTGTTGAGTAAAATTTCTCCAATTCAAAAATAATTTTCGAACAAAAAAGGAATAAAATGACAAAATAAAATTGCTTTCCCCTCTCTCTATAAAATAAAAGTAAATCAATATTTTATTTAACCACACAGAGTGAGCACATGGATTTTATATATTTAGAAGAGTATGAATAATGACTAGATAGAGTGTGAGCTTTTATTTATAAGAGCGCCTACTACTATTTTTACACTAAAGCAAGTTCGTTTTTCTAAAAAGGGTGAATATGCACGCTGAGAAAAAGGTTCTTTTTTTTTTCTTTGCTGGAGAAGTTTTAGTTGTTTTTTAATAAATTTTAAATCGTTAATTGTTCATAATTTCGATTTTTGGCTTTCTGAAGGTATATTAATAGGGTATAGTTCGTCTTGGTATATTAGATACTATATTTAATGGAGATTCGAATGATATATCGTAACCCCATTCGCGATAATTACTTCATCGGGCAAATCCACTTTGAAAATATCAGTAAAAAATAACACAAAATTATTAATCCATAAATAACTTACGGTATTTTAATAGGGTATAGTTCGTCTTGGTATATTAGATACTATATTTAATGGAGATTTGAATGATATATCGTAACCCCATTCGCGATAATTACTTCATCGGGCAAATCCACTTTGAAAATATCAGTAAAAAAATAACACAAAATTATTAATCCATAAATAACTTACGGTATTTTAATAGGGTATAGTTCTTCTTGGTATATTAGATACTATATTTAATGGAGATTCGAATGATATATCGTAACCCCATTCGCGATAATTACTTCATCGGGCAAATCCACTTTGAAAATATCAGTAAAAAATAACACAAAATTATTAATCCATAAATAACTTACGGTATTTTAATAGGGTATAGTTCGTCTTGGTATATTAGATACTATATTTAATGGAGATTCGAATGATATATCGTAACCCCATTCGCGATAATTACTTCATCGGGCAAATCCACTTTGAAAATATCAGTAAAAAATAACACAAAATTATTAATCCATAAATAACTTACAGTATATTAATAGGGTATAGTTCGTTTTGGTATATTAGATACTATATTTAATGGAGATTCGAATGATATATCGTAAACCAATTCGCGATGATTACTTCATCGGGCAAATCCACTTTGAAAATATCAGTCAAAAAAAAATAATCAAAAATTATTAATCCATAAATAACTTACGGTATTTTAATAGGGTATAGTTCGTCTTGGTATATTAGATACTATATTTAATGGAGATTCGAATGATATATCGTAACCCCATTCGCGATAATTACTTCATCGGGCAAATCCACTTTGAAAATATCAGTAAAAAATAACACAAAATTATTAATCCATAAATAACTTACAGTATATTAATAGGGTATAGTTCGTTTTGGTATATTAGATACTATATTTAATGGAGATTCGAATGATATATCGTAAACCAATTCGCGATGATTACTTCATCGGGCAAATCCACTTTGAAAATATCAGTCAAAAAAAAATAATCAAAAATTATTAATCCATAAATAACTTACAGTATATTAATAGGGTATAGTTCGTCTTGGTATATTAAATACTATATTTAATGGAGATTCGAATGATATATCGTAAACCAATTCGCGATGATTACTTCATCGGGCAAATCCACTTTGAAAATATCAGTCAAAAAAAAATAATCAAAAATTATTAATCCATAAATAACTTACAGTATATTAATAGGGTATAGTTCGTCTTGGTATATTAAATACTATATTTAATGGAGATTCGAATGATATATCGTAAACCAATTCGCGATGATTACTTCATCGGGCAAATCCACTTTGAAAATATCAGTCAAAAAAAAATAATCAAAAATTATTAATCCATAAATAACTTACAGTATATTAATAGGGTATAGTTCGTCTTGGTATATTAAATACTATATTTAATGGAGATTCGAATGATATATCGTAAACCAATTCGCGATGATTACTTCATCGGGCAAATCCACTTTGAAAATATCAGTCAAAAAAAAATAATCAAAAATTATTAATCCATAAATAACTTACAGTATATTAATAGGGTATAGTTCGTCTTGGTATATTAAATACTATATTTAATGGAGATTCGAATGATATATCGTAAACCAATTCGCGATGATTACTTCATCGGGCAAATCCACTTTGAAAATATCAGTCAAAAAAAAATAATCAAAAATTATTAATCCATAAATAACTTACAGTATATTAATAGGGTATAGTTCGTCTTGGTATATTAAATACTATATTTAATGGAGATTCGAATGATATATCGTAAACCAATTCGCGATGATTACTTCATCGGGCAAATCCACTTTGAAAATATCAGTCAAAAAAAAATAATCAAAAATTATTAATCCATAAATAACTTACAGTATATTAATAGGGTATAGTTCGTCTTGGTATATTAAATACTATATTTAATGGAGATTCGAATGATATATCGTAAACCAATTCGCGATGATTACTTCATCGGGCAAATCCACTTTGAAAATATCAGTCAAAAAAAATAATCAAAAATTATTAATCCATAAATAACTTACAGTATATTAATAGGGTATAGTTCGTCTTGGTATATTAAATACTATATTTAATGGAGATTCGAATGATATATCGTAAACCAATTTGCGATGATTACTTCATCGGGCAAATCCACTTTGAAAATATCAGTCAAAAAAAAATAATCAAAAATTATTAATCCATAAATAACTTACAGTATATTAATAGGGTATAGTTCGTCTTGGTATATTAAATACTATATTTAATGGAGATTCGAATGATATATCGTAAACCAATTCGCGATGATTACTTCATCGGGCAAATCCACTTTGAAAATATCAGTCAAAAAAAAATAATCAAAAATTATTAATCCATAAATAACTTACAGTATATTAATAGGGTATAGTTCGTCTTGGTATATTAAATACTATATTTAATGGAGATTCGAATGATATATCGTAAACCAATTTGCGATGATTACTTCATCGGGCAAATCCACTTTGAAAATATCAGTCAAAAAAAATAATCAAAAATTATTAATCCATAAATAACTTACAGTATATTAATAGGGTATAGTTCGTCTTGGTATATTAAATACTATATTTAATGGAGATTCGAATGATATATCGTAAACCAATTCGCGATGATTACTTCATCGGGCAAATCCACTTTGAAAATATCAGTCAAAAAAAAATAATCAAAAATTATTAATCCATAAATAACTTACAGTATATTAATAGGGTATAGTTCGTCTTGGTATATTAAATACTATATTTAATGGAGATTCGAATGATATATCGTAAACCAATTTGCGATGATTACTTCATCGGGCAAATCCACTTTGAAAATATCAGTCAAAAAAAAATAATCAAAAATTATTAATCCATAAATAACTTACAGTATATTAATAGGGTATAGTTCGTCTTGGTATATTAAATACTATATTTAATGGAGATTCGAATGATATATCGTAAACCAATTCGCGATGATTACTTCATCGGGCAAATCCACTTTGAAAATATCAGTCAAAAAAAAATAATCAAAAATTATTAACCCATAAATAACTTACAGTATATTAATAGGGTATAGTTCGTCTTGGTATATTAAATACTATATTTAATGGAGATTCGAATGATATATCGTAAACCAATTCGCGATGATTACTTCATCGGGCAAATCCACTTTGAAAATATCAGTCAAAAAAAAATAATCAAAAATTATTAATCCATAAATAACTTACAGTATATTAATAGGGTATAGTTCGTCTTGGTATATTAAATACTATATTTAATGGAGATTCGAATGATATATCGTAAACCAATTCGCGATGATTACTTCATCGGGCAAATCCACTTTGAAAATATCAGTCAAAAAAAAATAATCAAAAATTATTAATCCATAAATAACTTACAGTATATTAATAGGGTATAGTTCGTCTTGGTATATTAAATACTATATTTAATGGAGATTCGAATGATATATCGTAAACCAATTTGCGATGATTACTTCATCGGGCAAATCCACTTTGAAAATATCAGTCAAAAAAAAATAATCAAAAATTATTAATCCATAAATAACTTACAGTATATTAATAGG